CGACTACTACGATGTCCGTTTATCGAACGCTTTGGAGTAATCGAGAAAGGTCCTCGTAGAATTCATTTTTGATTTCAGGTGTACTGCAAACGATCGATGCATTCACCGACACGACACGACAATCGGATAGTGTGCGGACATTGAACACGGCTAAGTGAAAAGGGAGTTTCGGCTTAAAAAATCCCGTAACTCCGGATTGTTTGGCCTTATTGGAAAAATGCTGAGTGATATCCAATGGGTCTTGTAACAAGAAGGCATTTGGGAATATTCGTAATTGAGAGGAAGAACTAGACAGATGGGAAAGATGGTTTTCCAAATGGATCCCCAGGACTTTAGGGCACGANTATTTCGCTGCAGCCCACACCGACGAAGGGGTTTTTCTTTGGGAACCCTAACCGGAGCCTTTGACTCAAAAATCTGACCCAAAGGCTGTGGGGCGTAGATCCGACGCGGGAGCGTGAGCGAGGCACCCGTGTGGGAGCTTCAGGAGGCCTGTCACGCAAGGCTTTGAATTTCAGTTCAATGTTCTATTCGCTGGCCCTTAGTCTCGTGCACCCAATGAAACAAGCGGAACGTGGACGGGACAGCACCTTATTGGCTGGGGGCTGCCCAGTGAAGTCCGAAGACTTCTCTCACCGTCGAGAGGAATCCTCAGATACCTCGTTCCTACGTCCATCAAGCGGGGGATTTTTGACAGGTAAACTGCCCCTCAACGTGCTTGTTTGCTGGAGTGGCCTCTCCAGGGGTGGGTGTGGATGGACGAAGGAAGCCAGACGCCCAAGCAACTGACCTTGTGAGACTGATCTTCGTCTGGCCTCTACCCATTGACCTTTCAGGCATGATTGGATCTGCGGGTGAGGAGCCATTCTGTATAGCTCACAGGGTCATTGAGGCACGCGAGCAATCACACCACGTCAAGGCGTACTCTCGCCGTGATGGCGGGAATACAGTAGAGCGAACTTCAGTGATACCTACCAATCTCACAATGCATACAAGGTAAGTGAGGATAATTAAGGTGGGCGGATTGAGCACTTCTTTAGGAAGAGGAGAAAAAGCGAAACTTCATGGTCAACACAGTTCAAAAAGGTACATACCTTTCAAGCATTCTGGCTTGATAAGAAATGAAAACAAGAACGCCGCTGCTGTCAGTTCTCTGCCACATCCTTCAATATCTCCAACCAACCTTGTACGGCGTCGTTTGGACTCCAACCTATAAGTTGCGAAACATCTTAATTGTTCTGTATAGTTTTCAATGCCAATGCGAAAGGCGGCCGTTAGACATACGCAAAACGTGTCCTACCGAGCTGAATTCGGTGCGATATCAAGTTCTTGTTCGATACATTCCCAAACCCCACCACTAACCTCTCGGCAACTAGACCGTTCCTTCCATCCCACCGAGCCAGACTGCGTTAGGCTCGATTGTCGGAAACCTCAAGTCGATAAATGTCTTCTGACCGCCAATTCCAAGTTTCAACATTTTCGAGACCACTAAGTGCGTTCTCCAGTATTTCACCTAAGATGAAATTGAACGGGAATGGCGAAATAAGGGACCATTGACGAACACCGCCCCGATTTGTGAACGGTCTGCCCAGCGAACTGTAGAATCTTACTTAACAGAAGCATGCGAGTGAAATGATCTCAATAAGTTTACATTCGTCTGTGGCATCCCTTTGCGAGGAAGCTCATTGATACAGTGCCTAGTAGCCATCGAGACCGCGAAAAACCCACCCCCAGGCAATAATGAAACACGTCACCCCTGAACAGCAAGTCACCTGTGATACGAACACGAAAT